ATTATTCTTGAAATGGGTAATGTGAATTAAATATTTCAACTTTTATGGTATTTATTAATATTCATAATTATCATTTTTTGTTAAAATTTTTAGGTTATTTTAATTTTTTTCAGTTTTCATTTTAAGATTAATTTTTGTAACTTATTTCATTCAGTTGCCAAGGCAACAGTTGTCTCTTTTTTTAAAGTTTTCCCATCTAACATTTAGATTTTTATTTCAGACTTATTTCAATTAAAATAGTTTAGTTAACCATAACAACACTAGTCAAAAGGGAATAACATTATTTATTTACTTGTCTTCTATCCATGCTTCCATTTGTCTGTACAAAATGTGAGAGAAAGCTAAATACAGTTTCTAGTAATAGAAATCTTCATATTTCTAACACAATGACTTGAACCGATTAAGTAAAAATGATGACGCTGCAGTTGTTGAACACAGTCAATAAGTCCAAGACCTCTGAGGCAGGGCAGACCAAAATCAATATTTTTGAGGTATGTGAGGGAAAAATAAGTTACTTTTATATTAGATAAAAGCTTACATAACTTATCTAATAACTATACCTTTAGAACATGGGATTTGTGCCTTTATTGCTTCACAAAAAAGTGATAAGACCCAAGTTTGTACCCCATCTGTGGAAACTACCACACAGCCTTCTGAATCCGTATTAGGCCAATGTTTTTATAACTAAACTGACCTGATTGACCCTTCCCTGTCAAAACATATGCGTCACAATGTAAATGACTGTAAGATTAATTTTTGTAACTTATTTCATTCAGTTGCCAAGGCAACAGTTGTCTCTTTTTTTAAAGTTTTCCCATCTAACATTTAGATTTTTATTTCAGACTTATTTCAATTCAAATAGTTTAGTTAACCATAACAACACTAGTCAAAAGGGAATAACATTATTTATTTACTTGTCTTCTATCCATGCTTCCATTTGTATGTACAAAATGTGAGAGACAGCTAAATACAGTTTCTAGTAATAGAAATCTTCATATTTCTAACACAATGACTTGAACAGATTAAGTAAAAATGATGACGCTGCAGTTGTTGAACACAGTCAATAAGTCCAAGACCTCTGAGGCAGGGCAGACCAAAATCAATATTTTTGAGGTATGTGAGGGAAAAATAAGTTACTTTTATATTAGATAAAAGCTTACATAACTTATCTAATAACTATACCTTTAGAACATGGGATTTGTGCCTTTATTGCTTCACAAAAAAGTGATAAGACCCAAGTTTGTACCCCATCTGTGGAAACTACCACACAGCCTTCTGAATCCGTATTAGGCCAATGTTTTTATAACTAAACTGACCTGATTGACCCTTCCCTGTCAAAACATATGCGTCACAATGTAAATGACTTCCACGGAACTAAGAAGTGAACTTTGAAACATAGCAAAGTTTATTGTGTATTAAACAAGCAGTTAAGCGGATACATGTGACAAAGTAAAGAGTGGCTTACTGGGAAGGAGGATTGTGGAATGGGCTGAAACATTTGAAGAATGGCAGTGAGCACTGAGACATCATATGGTAAGTTAATGGACACTTCAGATACTGCATATTTGAACTCAATCGGTGTGTTATATGACTTTTGACAAGGTAGGTGGGGTTAAAAATAAAGCCTTATGGCAGATTTCATTAATATGAACCTGTTTGGTCTGCTTATTTTGAGCATCTGAACCTTATACCTTTGATTTGACTGTCTTGTCTGGGTCTTGGTTAGTCAATCCAGAGGGTGGTTCTCTTATGGGACTCGTGCTGCTGGGTCGAAGACACGCTGGTAAGAGCTCATTGGGAGACCTCATCCTTGGACGCAGGGAGTTTGAGCCCGGAAAGAAGACGACACGGTGTGTAAGGAGATTTGGCTGGGTGGACGGCGTGAGGCTTGCTGTAGTGGACACTCCAGGATGGAGTCTCTTTGGTTTGGCTGATGCCAGACTGGTGAAACAGGAGATCCTGCGCAGTGTGATGTTGGCCCCTCCTGGCCAATATCTCATATTTCTTCTCGTTATCCCAGTTGACTCTTTCAGCAAGCGGGACGGACGCGCTATGGAGAAATATCTGGGTATTCTTGGGGACATGGTTTGGTCACACACTCTGGTGCTCTTCACGTGGGGCGATGAGTTAAGAGGCAGCACTATTGAGAAGCACATTCAAGAGAACGGTGAACCTTTGCAGGAGATCCTGAGGAAGTGTGGCCACCGGTACCATGTTGTGAACAATAAATGTCCAGAAGACTTTAATCAGGTCACTGAGCTGCTTAACATTTTAAAGCAAATGTGTGCCAGGACTGGTTGAACATAGAATGGACCTGTGTTTAGGCCTATGTAATGTAATATTTGTAGGTTTATTTTTGAGCTTTTCATTCTTTATGTTTCCCTTTCATATAGATATGACTGATGCTAAAAAGATGTTTACAGTGACATTTAGAGGAATGTAATATTTGTTAAAGCGCAATTTTTTATCTTGTGCAGGCCAATATGGCAGTTATTAATTAGACTTTTTTAACTTTAAAATAACAGTTTCAAAATCATTCTGATGGTTTACTGACTTATAATACGACAACCCTAAACCTACCCTTACAGTAATGCAAATCCAGTAATTATGTGTTATATTCACGGTTGTGGCTAGAAGGCTACAGCTATAGGAAACCAACAATAAATAATTGTTTCTACCTATTAGATTGTGTTTTATTAAAGTCTACACCTACCCCAACCCTAAACCTACCCTTACAGTAAGATACATTAAATATTGTTATTCAGTGTGAGAAAAAGGACGTAATATTGATGTGCGCATGCGCAGTAAACATTGCCCTGTAACTTGCCCTGGTAGGACAATCTGACGGGTAGGATAAAATGTCAGGACACCGGACGAGAATACTTCATTAGAGCCACAAAAAGACAAACGTTTGCTGAAAAATGCACAAAACAATCTTCCATATATAATGTGATTTTAATGGAAAACTTATGTGAGTGGCGCTCTGTGGCCCGGTGGGATTTTGAACAGCGTAGGCTACTGTGCAACCCCCTTAAAGGTGACATGAACATCTGACTTTTCCAGGTTTTAAGTGCTATAATCAGGTCCCTGGTGCATCTACCAACCAAAGAAACGTGAAAAAGATTAACCCAGTAACGTTGTTTTGGGAAGCCTTTTTCTGCAAGTGTCTGAAAAAACGAGCGCGTCTGATTTCGCTCCCCTAGTGACGTGGCAAAGGGATCTCATTATAATATTACCGCCCCTTAATCTGTAAATTTACACCCACAGTGCCGTCATTGTGTTTTCACAAGCGACAACGGTGTACCAGCTCTAATGCCATGGTGAAAGTTTGAGCAAAACATGCTAACTGTTCTGTCTTTGGCTGCACAGACGAGCACAGAACACTGTTTAGAGTCCCAACCTCAGAGGAGACAAGAGAGCAGTGGATTTATTGATTTATTTAATGTGTATTGCTGCTGCCTCACAGATCTAAAATAAACATGCAATTTTTTTCCCAGCTGTTTACCTTCACAGACATAACCGACTGTTTTTGTGACTCGTGTGTGTTTTTTAACGTAAACTTGTGTGTGAATAAGAACTTAGATTAGTACTCGCATGCTGACAGCCGCTTTCTGTCCGTGTGCTTTGGATGTGTGCACTCAGAAAACCATATATCAGAAGTTTAAATTAATATGGTAATCAGAACCATAACAGATGCTTTTTAACAGGTAGGAGCTGTAATGGCGCAGCTCTATTCTGGAAAGGGGGCGGGGAGCAGCAGCAGCTCATTTGCATTTAAAGAGACAGGCACGAAAACACTGTTTCTGCTTCCACTCAAAATAGGCATTTTCAAAACGATATAATAAATGATCTGTGGGGTATTTTGAGCTGAAACTTCACAAACACATTCTGGGGACACCTGAGACTTATATTACATATTGTAAAAAGGGGCATAATATGTCTCCTTTAAGGCTGGATTAGCCTCTTAATTGACCCTTTGCCTGTAGTTTGACAGGCGATCTGCAGGGTCAGGACCTGAAATAAATGCATTTAGTAGTAGTTCGCCCTCAGTTATGGCAACACATGGGTATTGGCTGGTCTAAGCTAAAAATAAGCTTCAAGGTTATTTGAGCATGAAAAACATTTATGAGACAGTTCTTGTCAGAATTCATTTGTGATTTCAAATATGAAATTTAACCGTAAGCTTAGTGAACCATTTTAGAGAATTTAATGTTGCCCCATTCATTCAAAGAGATTGTAAGACTGAAACAGCTGCCGAGAGGTGTTTCAAAGATGGCCGCCAAGTAGAATCACAAAGTTTTGAATGTCAACTTCTGTCCTATCCAAACATTGTTTAAATTTACGTGGATTTAGCAGTGCTCCAAACTGGATTAATAAAGGTTGTGTAAGCATGTCTTGACTGTGTTCGCAAAGTTATCAGTGTGAACATATCACCTTCCCATCAATATTTCTGTTTCCTGATTATTGACTGCTCCTATGTAAACAAAGTAAGCCTAACATAGAAAATAATTCACCACTCTTCTTGGCCCTGCAAAACCAAATTTGGTACTTTAGTAGTTTAGGTATCTGCTACTTATTGCTTTGCTCTGTTATATTTGTGCCTGTTTAGTTGTATCTCTCCTTTGCTGCACTTTCAGTACTGCCTCTGTATTTTAAATACAGCATTATAAGTATCCAACATGTTTGCGAAACACAATCTGAGACTCAGAAAACAGGATAAAATTGATCCTTTTAATAAACAAAAACTGCATTTCTACAGTTTCAGACAACACAGATGCCCTTGGTAAAACACACATATTGATTAAAACATTTAAAACATCAACATTTGTCACTGAAAATCAAGGGAGCAGAGCCTTCAGGCTGCATCGGCCGTGATCATGTTGTGTCAGGCTGTGATAGGCTGGTCGTAAGCGTTTATTCAGAAAGGAAAGGTGCTAAACGAAGGGCAAATACATTCTAATGTTCCACAGGTACATGTACTCGGTACTAGTCTTCTCTAGTTTTTTTCTACTGTACACAGTTCTCCTCAGACCTGGAAAAGGAAGTCCTACAACTACAGATATGCATGGATTTGTTGCAGAACAGCCTTCTCTTTCTGTACAGTAAAGGCTTTGTAGGCTCACAAGGGGCTGTTTTAAAAATAAAAACAGAGAGAGAGTGCAGGAAAGAGGGAGCGAGGAGTTCAAAAACATATACAAGTGAAAGTAGACTACTCAAAGTCATGCTTTCAGTTCTTCAGTATCCTGAAACTGGCCACTGCAGCACCTGGGAAGTGCAGTTGCACGAACACTGTCATGAGCACAGTGGATGAATGGGGAAAAGCAGAGCCTTGCAGTGGCTCTATCCCATTTACCTGTGACATCCACATCCCGCACAGTCAATGTTTTATCGTACACAAGATATTCATGGGCGTTCAACAAGAGCTGCCATGCAAAGTGAGGTCTTGAGCTTTCTGTGAGGCCTCGAAGAATCTGTGGAAGTTGTCAGTGTCTATTGCCTCTACAAAGAAACAAAAAAACCCTAAAAACAAGAAAATCTTGTGCTCTTAAGTTGAGAGGCAGGGATGGTGGCGGCAGCATCCACCTTCTTCAGTCACGCTGTGCTCGCTTGCATTCACTCCAAAATAAAAACACACACATGCAGAATGTACAAGTATTTACAGCTCACGCCCATCGGTTAAAAAAAGCTACAGTATTAATATGAACATAAAAACGTTTGAGTATGGCTGAATCAAAAGGTAAGTAACTACTCAAGTATTTTGACCATTATGGATGATTCACCACGAGGCTCTTATGTGGCGCCAATGTCCATCCAACCTGATGCTCACGGGCCTTCCAGACACTCATTCTCAGAGGATTATAGATATGGAGATAGGAAGAAACCAGAGCCTTGGAGAATCATGATCTCCACCTTCTGCCAGATGTTCTAGGACAAGCGTCTTTCACATCTGCCTCAATAAAGTGCATTTGCTTCAAAGCTGATTTTGTAAATACTACAGATTCCTCCTAAGTTCAACCATGTGACTGTGTATGTGTGTGGTACCAGAAATTACAGTCCAACTTTGGGCTTCACATCCGGCCCATGTCGTCTTTCAACACTATCATCAATAACACTAGCATATCATTCTAAAAAAACAATAAATAATCAGAGCAATAGAGTGCGGTATAAAACAATAAGATGAACTGATTTGCATTGATGTTCATTTGCTGGGCCTCCAAGGATTCCCAGTCCAAAATCCCTTTAGTTCATGTAAAAAAAAAACAAATAGGGAAAAACAGAAGATGGATCCAAATGCAGGTCCAACGGCTTTTTCATACTATTACGTCTCTGTTTAGCTTTCATCTTTGGTAGTGAACTTATGCACATCCTTCTCAAAAAATTTAATACTTGGTCTGTTGCTTGTGATTGAACGGAATCAAAAGGAACTGAAAGTGCTTTGCTATAAAACAAAAACGTGGGATTTGTTTAGTCTTGCTCTGTGGTTTGAGAAGATGATGGTCCCTGGAGTAAGAGCACTGGCTGAGATTTTACAGATCATGCTCTTTATTCGTACAGGGTCACGGTGCAGTAACACAAAGCTGAGATCCTCCGGTCCACGCTTGCCTTGTCTGTACAAAACAAACACAGAGAAAAGATATTAAAAGGATTTTACTTCAGCTTTGTTTAGTAAACAATCATAATGAAATGTAAGAAGTTGACTCACATTTGGTGACGTTTTCTATATCAGCTGGGTCCTGAAGGATCTTGGAAAGGCCTTCCAGCAGCATGGAGGCTTTGTTGTAGCGATATGCGATGTCCTCTGTCTGCTGGAACATCTCGTCTAGTGCAGCTGACTGCACCTGTTACACAAACACACCAATGTTAACCACTCATTCAATCACGCAACAAAGCTCAAAGTGAGGCCGCCATGACCATCCTTACTCACCATCTCTACAGCATGGTTATAAATGAGCTTCTCAGCTGTTACACTGTTGATCTCATCCACAAATCGCTGCTTGTCAGAGAAGAAGTGGTTGAGTTTGTCCGTGAGCCGGCGGCACAAGGAAATGCAGCTCTTGTAGCGCTCGTTCAAACTCTTCACCACTGAAAGTCAGAGACAAGATATGTTATTCGCTAATTTCATCTGTTTCCCTACATTGGCGGTTCTCAATGTTTTTGACTTCAGGATGGCCCACTAAGATATTTCTGGTATTTCTGTTTTAAAGACAAAGCTGCGGAAACTAGTCACAAAACTATTTAGCTTTTTTTTCTCTCTCGTTATTTTAAGTACTTTTTTTTAGTACTTCAAGATGAATTTATTTCAATTCATTTAATTGCGAGTATAGTTCCTAGCCATATCGGCCAAGAAAATGCTCAGCGATTTGAACAGCTAAAAGTGCTACCGCCAGACCCGGAGATCGGCTGAATGGATTCGAAAACGGTTAAAATCAACTGTTTAACTCTAGGGGAGTTGGAAAATGATCCTATTTTCAAAAATAGTGGAGTGTTTCTTTAACATAACTAGAAAAATGTATATTCATTCGAAAAATGCCCACAACATTTTCATTTTCATAACTTTTCCGCATCTAGAAATCATTCTTTTAAAATGCCCTCATATACAAAGGTTTTCCAAGAACGTGGGAATTCTTGTCCTTAAAAATGACAGTTGCTGAAGGAATGAACTAAATAAAAATGTCAGTTTAAATATTATGTTTTGGCTTATTTTTATTTTAGTTTTGTCTTTTGGTTTAAAATAACTAATTTAATAATTTTAACTAAATAATTACATATTTACATATATACAGTCAAACCAAAAATTATACAGACACCAGATATAATTTTTGATATTTTTTTTACTGCGGGTGCAGGACATTATAGTTCATTTATGTAAGTGAGGATAGCAAAATAAAGTAAACTGTGACATACTATACCCAAAAATTCTTCATACATTGGACTACCAGTAAAATTGATACAAGTAAAAATGTTGGACCAGAAATTATTCAGACACTTTGACCTGACCATGTTTTGTTTAAGTGTTTTTTCTTTAATTGCTAATGCGACCTTTTTACACCACAGACTGAACAAATGTAAGCATTTTTTGGTAATTGGTTGACCTAAATTGGTATTATCTGATTGTGTACTTAAATTTAACAGCTGACAGCTATTCAACCTAATTCATTACATACCTTTCTATCAAAGTTATCTGATATGATCAAGATTAATCTGTTCTGACGCAGTTTAACTCTGAGTTTGTATCATATTTTATTATCATTTTCTATAGCAAATAAACTGTGATAATGTGAGAAATTCATACATTTTGGTTTGACTGTACACACAGCCGTCTAATGTAGCAGCTCACCTTGTTTGACGGCCATGGATGGATTGAGTTTGGCAGACTTGATCTGAGCTTTGGCCAGGTGCAGTGAGGAGGCCAGCAGCTGTGCGGCTTTCATGTACAACACCAGCTGCTCCACCTGCCTGTGTGAGACCATGACCAAAGCATTACATACTATATGCTATGAACTCTCATTGTTAAGGATTATGTGTTTGTGTGCACTCTTCTTACCCCCACTCCTTACTGAGCTGACTGATCTGATCCACCACCACGCTGTCCTGGGGCGGGTAGAGAGAGGCGGCGGACGCACCCAGATCGGGCCCTCTGGGCCGGAGAGAAGCGATCTCCAGCACACAGTCCGTAAAGGACAGCATCATCCGCAGGTGCATCAGAGTGTCTGTGTGCTCACGCTGCCAACCAGAAACACACGCATGTTAGTGTTTCCAAAGAAAAGCTACCTTTATACAGAGGTGGCCAAAATGATTAGAACACTAGTATTTTCACCAGCTAAAAAATGGTTTTACGTCAGTTATTTCTATCTTTTGATGTAGTGTGTCAGTAGGAAATATCAGTTTACATTTCCAAACATTCATTTTGCCATTAATTGTAATAATCCAGTGAGCACAAGGAGTCTGACAACAACCAATGCTCCACACAGAGATCCAATCTCACCATCATCCAGTGTGTCTGGAATGACATGAAGAAACAGAACAAACTGAGACAGACTAAATCTATAAAAGAACTGTGGAAACGTCTCCAAGATGCTTCAAGAAACCTACCTGCAGAGCTACCTGAAAAACTATGCACCTAGAGCAAAAGCTGCTTTAAATGCAAAGGATGGTCACACCAAATGTTGATTTAATTTAGTTAACAGAAGTTAATTGATAAAGAAAATCTATTTTTGACAGCATCCTCATTTTACAGCATTTTTACACAAGTGCCTAAAACTCTTAACAGTACTGTAGCTTTACAGATAGGTTTCTTGAAGCATCTTGGAGATGTTTCCACAGTTCTTCTGGACTTAGTCTGTCTCAGTTTGTTCTGTTTCTTCATGTTATTCCAGACACACTGGATGATGATGAGATCAGATGTTGTCAGAAAATCTCACTGGATTATTACAATTAATGGCAAAATGAATGTTTGGAAATGTAAACAGATATTTCCTATACTGACACACTACAGCTAAAGATAGAAAAAACTGACGTAAAACCATTTTTACAGTAGCTGGTGAAAATACTAGTGTTCTAATAATTTTGGCCACCACTGTACGTTCCAGCTGTGTTAGCTCTCTCACCTCCATCAGTGTCTCCTCTGGCAGTTCTGGAGCTTCAAAGGTGATGAATCCATCCAAGCTGGGCGGGGAGGTGCCGTAAGGGACATAGCGCAGACTGCTGGGAGCCGCTTCCGCTCCTGGTGGGGAGCTGCCGATGGTCATGCCCGGGGGAGAGCCCATATACACCTTACCGCTGGTGGAGCACAGCGAGCCGGCCGAGCTGTTGGAGCCTACTGCAGACACGCAGACACGCAGACACACACAATCAGCCACAGAGTCTTATGAATCAATTAGCTTTAGATCTTGACCATAATGCATCAGAATGTCTTTAAAACAGTGGCACAGGTACTAAACACGTAGTGCGGAAGCTGAAGCAGTGATGTATGGGGCAGGTTTATGAGACGAAGCCCCTCACCTGAGGTGGTGCGCGGGCGGGAGGCGAGATGGCTGCAGGTGGGAGGGGTGCTGCTGTTGGGGGGCGAGCCCACCGTGAACACAACGGTGCGGGGACTTGCCCTGCCTGCTGCCAAACCGCAAGTCCCTGCTGGGGCTGGGGAGCGATGCACGCAGGGGTCACAAAACACATACAAACGCTGGCAGCCAATCAGAACACTTCATGCAAGACAGAAGCTTTCAGGAGAAGCTCAAACGATGTCAGTGGGGTTATGTATAGTAGAAATAAAATAATTTCGGTATTAAAAACGGGACTTTACAAAAAGCTGTAGCAAAGTAAAGGGGGAAAGGGGGCTACCTGTGTCCATGGGTCTCTCTGTGTTGAGGCTGTCTGTGCTGCCCTGGTACGGCTGTCCTCCCAAAGTGATCCGCACCGGCTGCTCAGACAGTCTACCAGCACTTACAGACCTGAGGAAATAAACAGCTTCAGCTTGCTATTTAATTAATCAACACAGGGGTCAGTGACAAGGCACTTACGTCTTGTCCAAATCTATTCATTTATTTGAATATACATGAAAAATGCAACCAATATATATTCTTATATTATGATCATATTTTTAATTTCTGGTTTGTGGTACTTTTGTGGGGCATAAAGTCATAAATGTCACCTGTCTGATATTATAAATTATAATTAAGATAAAAATTATTAAAATAATTATTGAAAAGAAAATATTAAATCTTAGAACTCTTTCTAAAAAAATGAATAATACATTTTGTTAAAATATAAATCTCTAAAAACAAACAAATCACATGTGGTGTGACCAACATGCAAGAAAAAAAACTAAAACAGGAAATTATATCATAGAGAGGACCCCTGCAGATGACTGTGTGTGTCATGGTCAGTAAGCAAGTAAAAAAAAAATATCACAATGTATGCAACACCCCAAACAATTAATGTTCATTATTCATTAGCTATATAATACTTTAATACACTACTGTTCAAAAGTTTAAGGTGAATTTTCTTTTTTTAAGAATTCTCTTATGCTCAACAACGCTGATTATTTGATCAAAAATGCAGTAAAAACAGTAATATTGTGAAAAATTATTACAATGTATTATTACAAAATATTCATCAATTGAACTGTTCTCTATTTTAATATATTTTTTATTTATTCCTGTGATAGCAAAGCTGAATTTTCAGCATCATTACACATGATCCTTTAAAAATCATTCTAATAGGCTGATTTGATGCATTTATTATTAATGTTAAAATGTGCTTCTTAATATTTTTATGGAAACCAATACAAAGTTAAAAAAACAGCATTTATTTGAAACAGATTTATTTTAACAACCAATTAATTTATTTCTGATCAATTTAGCATCCTTGCTGAATAAAAGTATTCATTTTTTATAAAAACTTACTAACTCAACTAATATACTAAACAGTAGTATATGTATATTATTGCATAATATATTTTAAAGGGGTCCTATTATGCTTTTTCACTTTTTCAACTTTAATTAGTCTGTAATGTTGCTGTTTGAGCATAAAAAAGATCTGCAAAGTTACAAAGCTCAAAGTCCACTTCAAAAGGAGATATTTTATTTAACAGAAATTTTTCAAAAACTACAACGAATGACTCGTTTGGACTACAACGCATATTTTCCGGGATTTAGGATATCACAAATATCGACGAATGGGACGAGACCTGGTTGAGCTGCACTAGAGAAGACAACGAGTGTTATCACTATGTCTGAGACACGCTAGCTTTCCCAAGGCAGACGAACTTAGAGTGGTAACAATCATCTGGATTTAAATCACTCAAATTGATTTGATTTTGACACAATATTTACACTGAAGCTCGCAGGCGGCTATAGTAAGGGGCATGACATTTCCACACCAGGTGCTGAGTGCTGCCAATCACAACACACACTGGCCCAGCTAACCAATCACAGCACATTTCGTCTTTCAGAAGGCGGGCCTTCATTTGATACAGGAACTATTCAGTCAGCTCGCCTTGTCTACTGCAATTTTCCTCACTGTATTTACAATAAGACGAAATATGATATCAAGCACCACTGCCTCTTTTCGTTTTCATTTAAACATAGTTCAGGGAACGTACATACATTACAATAAAACGAAATATTATATCAAACAGTATTGCCTCTTTTCATTTTCATTTAAACATATTAATATATTAATAGAATAAAGACCAAAGATTACCTGTTAGATTTACCCAAAACGAATTATATCTTATGTTTCCTTATGCTTAGCTTATGCACTACAGAGACATCGGAGCCAGCGGCAAATGTCAGAAGGACTAGCCAAGTTGAGGCTGCTCTCGTTGGGAAACATGAGCACTGACTGCCCGGTTATCGCGTGGAGCTCACATCTCCGAAATCAGCGACGCACATTTTCAAATAGGAGCTGTCTTTATAAATAAACTGCAGATTTGAGTTTTAAACAACTACATTCTCACCTGAAATACTTTTAAAACTACATTTCATGACTCAATAGCAGTAATATTTTGAAAATGATGCGAATAAATGGTGGTTGAAATACAATGCTGCGTGAACTCAACCAATCAGCATGTTCAGCGCCCTAGTCCCACCCCCAAAAGTTCCGGACCTTTGAAAAAGTACTACCTCGCGAGCAGGGACTTTCTGAGGGGCAAAGTTTTACCCGGAACTTTATTTAGATTCTGGTTCCTGCGGTGAAAACACACAGAGTACCGGCCCAAAGTCCCTAGTTCCTGGGGAAAGTTCCTGCGGTGGAAACAGGGCTTTTGTTGCTTATATCTGATGTTGTCTGAACAAAGTTTTTGCTGACCTGCCAAAGGAAGTCTTGCTGGCCTCTGGTGCACACTGGCGGCTGCTGGGATATGCTGAGCAGTGATGTACACAGAGGTCACGCCCATCCATCAGTGTTTTAACTGGGATGGGGCTGTCGGCCATACCCTGCTGAGAGGCCAGGGCCATGAGATTGCACGAGGCTTGAGTTTTAGGGATTTTGAATGGAGCGGTTGCCTATATGAGAAGAAATTGTATTATTAATGTCAAACGCTCTTGATCTAGGCCTGAAACAGGCCTTTTTACCTGACAGCTCCTTAAGCTTACCTTAGTGGGTGAGCCGATGATGGTGGGCAGCGGTGACTTCGTTAACCAGTCAGAGGTGCGAGGGGAGGAGCCAAGGTGCTTGGTGGGGGAGGTGCCTAGGTTGCCGGGGCGACCAAGCTGAGGGGAGTGGCTGGTGGGGTAGGCTGAGGCGGTGGGGTGAACTGGGTCAGACAGCTGCTTGTGAAGCTTCTGCTTGTTCTGGTAAATGTCAGTCAGTGTGGGCACACTCTGAAGACGAGCGCCCAGTAATTGAGAAGACGGTACAGGGGAACCTAAAACATAAAAAGTGTCCATTTAGTTAAAAAATAAAGTTATTCCAGGGATAGTTCACTCAAAAATTCAAATTTTCTTCTCATTTCTATTCTCATAGTCAGACTAGTTCTTAAGATACTGTCTTAATATAGAGGCTAAGTTAATGCAACTGGCACCAGGTAACAAAACTTAAAGGAGTAGTTCACACAAAAATGAAATTTACCCTCAGACAATCCAAGATGTAGGTTTGTTTCAAAACACATTTTGCACAATTTAGCATTACATCTCTTGCTCACCAGTGGATCCTCTGCAGACAAATGCAGCTTTTCACTTCACAAGATGTTCATTGATGCACTGAAGTTTGTGTGGATTACTTTTGGATTATTGTGTTTTTATCAGATGTTTGGACTGTCATTCTGACGGCACCCATTCACTGCAGAGGATCCATTGGTGATCAAGTGATGTAATGCTAAATTTCTCCAAATCTGTTCCAATGAAGAAACAAACTCATCTACATCTTGGATGGCCTGAGGGTAAGTAAACTCTAAACAAATTTAAATTTTTGGGTGAACTATTTCTTTAATAGATCCATAAATTATAATTATTAAGGCATTGTAAAATGAATCCAAATGGATCAAGCGGTTTAATACAAGTCTTGAGATATAAGATATGATTGCTTTACATGATGAACAGATTTAATTTAAGGCTTTTACTTACATCTAAATAATGATAAACACATACACAGAAGCTATGTTTAATTTGCGTCTTGAATATTAATCAAAATGTTATGGGTTTAGAATGACATGAGGGTGAGTAAATAATGCCAACATTTTCACCCATTTTTGGGTGAACTATCCCTTTTACCGTAACATTATTGATATGGCACTCCACATTCTACATTATCAACCACTAGGTGGCACTGCAGTATGTAAATGAGACTATAAAACTTAATTGAACTGAAAGTTTAAAACAACAGGATCAACCCGTTTTGTCTCCTGTTTAGACACGATCATTGAGTTCATAGGTTTGAAGAGGTTTTGCATGAAAGCTCCCAGGAACATGCATTGTTCCTGATCACTTGTGGGGTTCTCAGCCATAAAGAACAGCTGTATCCATGGAGACCTAAATAGCGACTGTAGCTACCGCTTGTTAATGGTGCCACTTTGAAGAGGTAACAGTAGTGCTGTGTTTTTTTCATGATAATTTCTCACATATAAACTCACCGCCTGAGGAGCTGCGACTGCGTGCCTCATGGCTCTGGGGATGTCCACAGCAGCAGTGGCCGAGCTGCTCAGGAATAGTGCCCACTAGGGAACAATACAGAAACAGACAGACACACATAAAATAGGCATGTCAGGACATGTCAGTCTTTGAAAATACAGTTTCCCAATAAACTTAAAAAAGAATGAGAGAAGGAACTCTTACCCAGTGGAGAGGGGGAGTAGGGCCGGGAACTGCCCGTAGAGAGACGTCGCCCCACCGTTTGGACCGTATCTGCAGGGCTAGGCGACCCAGACACCATTTTAGGGAAGCCCATGGGGCTAGTGTTGGAGCGCCGCACTGTGCCTGACCTGTGACCATAAAAACAACCAAAAATCATTCTATAGTAGTATTTGGACAACCTCACAATTTCTTCAGTACGAACATCACTTTTGTTAACCAGCAGTTATGTATTCATCTGGACTTGATGTAATTTTAGTGGATGTATGATGTCAGTTCTCCTCAAGTTCACACTGGTGTCCATTAACTGTCATTTGACAACCACAAAGTGTCCAAATACTTTTCATTTTATTTTAAACAGTATATGTCTTTCATTAAAATAAGTGCCATTTAGCATGACTCAGTACTATTCAAAATTTGGGGGTCGGTATGATTTATTTATTTATTTATTTTAATTAATACTTTTATCCAGCAAGGATGTATTAAACTGATATCACTGGAAATTTTATTTTATTTTTAAAAATATATTAAAAAGAAAACGGTCACTCTAAATTGTAATAATATTTTACAATTTTACTGTTTTTACTGTATTTTTGAGTCAATAAATGCAGCCTTGGTGAGACGTCTTTTTAAAAACACCAACCCCAAACATTTATATAGTAAGGAATTCATATATATATTTTAAATGTCCAGATGCTTTTTACACCACTGTATATGAAACACACAATTTGCAGAATATCCTCTGTCTGTAGAGTTCTTAGGGAAGGAGTTCCTGGCATTTTCTTTAGCTAAAAGTGAGATTCTCAATACTCCTGCCTTCCCAAACAATCCATAAATAATCTTAATGACACAAAAATCACCTGTCAAAGCTTGATAAGCTCAGAAATGTTAAATAGTTCAGTGAATGACACCTGGAAGACAATCATGACTCATAAATCAGGTCTCAAGCAGTGCCCAGGGCTACTTCACCAGCACAGTGACCGAGCTGACTAACAGGGTGAGAGATAATGTGAACCAGCCCAGCCCTGGGCACACGGACAGCAAGGCTTTTTGAGACACAGGGCAGGTCAGAGTGAAGTAGGCCAAGCAGCTACTGAGGCCTGGCGTGACTAATAAGGGACAGTGCAACAGTCATAATCTCCAGAGTCTGCTAATCACCTGCCTGAAGACCCTAAACCCACCTGTTCCCAAAGACAATCCACTGAATCACTTAGCAAATTCTCCCCAAAGTGAGATGATCATACGAAACTGATGCAATCATGTCAATGATTGCATCTTAATGACTTGAACATGCTACTAAAAGCAGTTAGCAGAGTTACTGTTCCCGCTGTTGGTTGTCTTACCTGGGAGAGCCATAAAGTGTTGTGGTTGGGCTGCTGGACAGGTTCTGTTTGATACGCTGGTAGTTCCGTACCTGTGTGGGCACAGGTATCGGCGTGGTCTCGCTTCGAGGTGATACCATTGGGATCTGTCCGGAGGATGGCTGCTGTGGCCTGAGAAACCCAGAAAATAAGGTTGCAATCCAGTCAGAATGCTTTTCCAAACCCATTTATGCTATAAAAACCGTTTTTTTTCAACATGCGATCACTAAGTGTAAAGTGCGAGAAGCTTCTAACTTTGTCAAATGAGTTAAGCAAAGCTGTTTCTGCTCAAAGGGCATGGCTGACCCACATGGGGCGGAGCTACAGTGTAAACACAAAGCCCTGACCAATCAGTAAGGGGGAGGGAGGAGAAATGGGCGGTGCTTTCAGGCAGTGGCACGTGCTGGGTCCACCTACCTTCGCCAGTCTCAAACAAAGGAAACAAAACAGCTCATTCTTATTCTATCAGGAACACACTGTATTTTTTTACAGGTGTCATGACTGGGTCATGTATGGGGGTGTGCGAAACTAAGACCATGCAAACTAAGATCTGATAAGAAGGAAGGGAGCTAAAAGTGAAAAAGGAAAGTTTTGAGCTCCATACTCCTGGATTATGTAATGAGTGAGGGAGCTACACGTGAACGGTTGAGCAGGCTGCACGACAAATGCACACAAAGAGAGTTTCTTTGTTTGAGCCAGAGTCAGTTCAGCATGGCACAGCAAAACAAACAGGACATAACTGACGAGGCTAAAAGATTTTTCTGTATGATTTTCTTTTTTTGAAAGCAATTAATACTTTACTGTCACTTTTGATCTCAATGTTTGATCTCACTTATTGTATCCTTGCCGAATTAAAGACATAATGTTGTTTTAAATGCACTGTATAATGTAAAATATTATAATGTATTAATGTACAAAAGATTTCTATTTAAAATAAATGCTGTTTTTGAACTTTCTATTCATCAAATAAGGTCCTCATAAAATGTATCACGGTTATCACAAAAATATTAAGCAGCACAACTGTTTTCAACAATGATGATAAGAAATGTTTCTCGAGTAGAAAATAGTTTTGTTAAATTGCACTAATATTTCACAATAGTAAAAAATAGTTTAAAAAAGTTTTAACTGTATTTTTGATTAAATGAATGCAGCCTTGGTGAGCATTTTTAAAACATTAAAAATATTACTGACCCGAAACTTCTGAACAGAGGTCCATACATATTTTATATTACATTATATAAAATAATTTTTCATCTTCGTTTCCGCAATTTTTACATTTAGATAAACATTTTTCATCATTTAAATCTCTTTAAAAATGCTAATAATTTAAAAACATTGTTTACTTAAATTTTTAGCAAATCCGTCAAGTGTGTCCAACCTTTTGGTCTTTAGTGTATATGTAGTGTGTAAAAAGAATAAATAGACAAGAGATTAGACAGAGAAGGTGGCGTATGACTTGCTTGTACAAGAGAGGGAAACAGAAAAGCCACAGAGCAGAAGGAAGTGCACTGACTCTCACAAAAACAAAACCGCTTCTGTTTTACACGACTAACAGACAAAAGATGCACAGTATACGAATGTTTTAACCGTCACTCTGTCAGCTCTGGCAAAATTCATGTCAGATCCATTGCATAACTGCACCGTCTAGTCACAAAACACCCAATGGACATTTAATTCTGCACCTCTGAATGAAAATAGAGGTCGGTTCACAAGTAAAGGGTGTGGAAACAGTTTTGGATCACATGCAGACAGGAAGAAATGACAGCAGGGTGTCCATTCTTAGGGCAGAAGCATAAACACAACCCGCGTGTTTGCTCCCACAGGACTTATTCACCAGCCGAGTGATTCACCTCTCGCTGAGCCACACCAGCTTTTAGCAGTTTGTGAGTGGAAGCCACCTAAAATATCTTAAAAAACCAACGGATCAGTGTGCTAATCCGTAATTCCATATTTCCATGATGCAAACAGACCAAAAAGGATCAAGATGATTTACCCAGAGTTAATATTCCTGTCTGCATGTCGGACTCGACTGTGTATCTTTGGCCTGATAAATGTCAACCTGCTAAAATCCTTGTCTAACATTTGGACAGCTCGACACAAGTAAACATGCATAGGTGAACGTTTGAGCTTTTAAAGCATTGTAACGTATCTTGAGTGAAGCAAGTGAGCGATGTCACACTCACCCTCCACACAGAAGGAATTCACTGGACGGTCTGCGGGCCACTGCACCCATTGAAGGGTCATCTGAAGATGAGAGAAAGAAAGACAGCCATGAGAACTACATAAATGCAAAGTCTCACATACACCAACAAATCACAGCATGTGAGAGAGTAATCAGCGCTGGAAGGCTTTTGTAGCGCTGACTCAGCTGACGCCTCTTCTATACACTAAAAAACACACACAGGCAGCTTCAGCAGCTGCTCAAATATAGTGTGTGTGTGTGTGTGTAAAAATGGTACACTGCAAATATTCATTTTCTTGCTCTGTATTTTTCGTTTTGGTTTCCAGTAAAAATATCCAAATTTGCTTCTAAATTTAATATCTTACAAAACTAAGAGAATCTACATCATGTATACTGAGTTACATGTATTTTTCAAGATTTTCTGTTTTTTGTAATATATTTTTTACAGTTATAAAGAGGTTTTAAATATTTTCTTAAATCATTAACCGATGTAGTAAGAGAAAAAATAAATTCAAGATTTAAACATACTTACAATAACCATAACAAAACTTAAAACCATCCAAAATTGAGAAAATATATCTTGAATTGCATATTTTTCAATGTTTATATTTTGCTATATTTATAAACAGGCTTAAATTAAGGCTTGCATTAAAAAAATAAAATTAATTCAAGATTTATTCTCCATGACAGAATGATAATACTGAACCATTATAAAGACATTATACTTAATATTAAAATATGAATATGTTATAAAATTGTGTAAGATACTAAGGCTTGTTCTCAGAAAATATAAGTTAAATTAAATGTTTTTTTCATGTTTTCAGCACAAACCTCAAACTTATCTAGATCTAGGATTAAAATGATTTTAAATAAAATTTACCCACATGGAGTAAAAAATTAAGCATATTATGAATCATAAATATCTTTAGTTACATTATCTTACATTAATGGTCAAATAGAGTAAAAAAACATAGATTATAAAATAAATGTATCTTGTTTTATGAATGTTTTAATATTTTAACTGAAAAACTGTGGTCTGTCTAGGCGCTTGGCATGTGTTCGGTGACGTTATGTGACTCACAGGACTGTTCTCCAGAGAGATGGGGCACCAGCACAAAGTCGTCAGTGTCGCAGGAGGAGTTCTTGCTGCTGGTGCTGCCGCCCGACTCTTTGGACAGCTGCAGGTAGTTGGGAGGGCCGAGAGGTGGAGAGGACAACACGTCCTCAGGGAGAGTCTGCATGTCTGGCAGGGACTGCAACACAAAGGTGAAGGTAAACACTGGATTAACTTTAGCTGAGTCAGTACCATTACCCTTCTGAATGCCATAATCATCTCACACAACACCTCTCCTCACGCCTGTGGCATTGTGACAGTGGATTCAGCTTTGACAATGTAAGGGGCTTACCGGCGGAGAGACGTAACGACAGGAAGGAGAGCTGCCACATGTGCTGTCTGTGACCAAGCCAGAGCACGTAGGCACTGGCACAGGGCATGCTGGGTAAAACAAAAGCTGTTTTAGTGTCCAGCCACACCTGACTCATCAAATTTGCTCATCAAATGCTCCCTTACTTACATTTTTTAATAGTTGATGTCGGTTCCAAGAAAGGATGACTGAAAAAAGTGTCTGCAGACAGAAGAGTATACAATAAGGAAGAGGGAACAACAAGGTGCAGATCCTCCCACAACGCATTAAAACAACAGAAATATACTGACCAAAATCCATACGGTCCTTCTGGTTCCTCTGGAGCAGCCCCAGCAGCAGATCTTCCAATTGAGGAGACGTCTCTCTCGGGATGCTGTGAACAAAGCATTAGTTATTTAGTAAATAGCAACCAGTGACTGGCCATTTTGAGATTACTGGCTTAATAAAATATTATAAAAATAATTTAAAAAGTTCAGTTAATTTTGAGTACATAATACATAATACATAAATTAAGTGTTCTTTTCATTTCAGTTATTTTGTGTATATACAGTACTGAAAATTAAAAAAAAAAAGTGTAAAAGATTTGAAAGGTCAAAAGATATTTAAATGCATTAGGTTGCATTTATTTGATAAAATAGTGTAAAAACAGTAATATTGTGAAATGTTATTACAATTTAAAATAACTGTTTTCTATTTGAATATGTAAATTATTAGGTAGAGCTGAAATTTTACTCTTACTCCAGTCTTTAGTGTCACATGATCCTTCAGAAATCATTCTAATATGCTGATTTGCTGCTCAAATTTTTTTTATTAATATTATCAGCATTGAAACAGCTTGTGCGGCTTAATATTTTTCTGTAAACTGTGATATTTTTTTTCAGGAGTCTTCAATGAAATGAACGCCATTTATTTGGAATAGAAATCTTTTGCAGTCTTTACTGACCTTTTCGATCCATTTAATGCATCCTCACTAAATAAAAGTATTATTTTCTGTTTTCCAAACTTTTGAACAGTAGACTATATATGTATCAGCATTATATTGGTCACTACTCTTATTTAGGTATCAGTATCTAAAACAGCCCAACCATAATTGTTGGGCTGTTCCACCAAAAACTGTGGTTTTACTTTACAACATTTAGCATTATGACGCATAATACGACAAAAGAAAAACTAAAATTAGTTAGTGGTCTTACTTTGGCACCAAAGTCTTGTTCTTCTCATAGAACATCCTCAAGTCCTGTGGACTGTTAGCCTGGTCACATAAACACATGAAACACCATTTAAAATCACCATCAAAATAACACTTACAGTTAGTATTCAAAATATGTTACTTTAACTTCAGCATCATGAAACTAACTTGGAAAGGCGGCTTTCCCACGAGGCACTGATAAATGACAGTCCCAATGCTCCACAGGTCAGCTTTGGCATCATAGTTCTGGGACATGATCACTTCTGGAGCCTGTGTGGAGAGGTGACAGATTATAAGAATATGATGATGTCTCACGCATCTGCTATATTTCACAAATCTGAGACAGTGAGACAGAATACTGACCATGTACATTGGGGATCCACATAATGTGGCCGCCATCATGTTGCTCTGGAGATATCTTGCAAAACCAAAGTCAGCTGTAAAATAAAGACAGCGCCGGTGTTATTAATAGCAACATGCTGCTGTCTGAGAGTCACGACTTCTAACTTCTGCACAGACTGAAACAATGGAAACAAAGAACTGGCTGTGTGAGAGATCAGAGGGCGGAAAGTGTATTACATAGACTGTTAGTTATGAAAGATTAGGTACATGCACAGTGGACTACAAACATCCTGAGATATTAATTTCCAGTTTTAAGTTCAATTTTGGATCCCAGATTTGTAATGTGGTTTTAGACATTTCAATTTTACAGTAGATGTACAGCACATATTAGCAATAAATCGCTGGGGAGAGTGTTACCAATCTTGATGCGTATGCCGTTGATGCTGGACTTCTTGCGGCCCGTGTAGGACAGCAGGATGTTCTGAGGTTTGAGGTCTCTGTGAATGATCCCCTTGCTGTTGAGGATGCGCATGGCTGCTGCAATCTGCTGTAGAAAGACCCTCAGCGTGTCCTCTCGTAAAGTGCCCTTGGCTGAAAGAGCAAAGACATCGTACTGCTGAGTAACATGGCTATAAAATCCATTAAGAGATTCTATAAAAACCTCATTTACCCAGATACCCTTGCAAGATTGTATGACCGCTTACATCACAATGCTCCAAAACAGAACATTTCCTGAAAATCAATTGGCTTTATGTGTCAAGAAACCTCAGATTCACTAGTTTAAAAGAGCAAAACGTTTTTTTTACACTAAGGTTGTTTGGCCAGTTTTCTCTGAGGAATGCAGTGATTTCAGTAGGATTCCACATGATTGGAAATTTTGGGTGAGGGTGAAAGATTTCCCCATGCAGTTTGTGCATCGTCACGCAAGTTGGTCACAAATTCGCTGTGATGGCCAACAGAAAGCAGCTTGGTTTGAAAGTGACTTCTGTGCGAGCTGTGCTTCACATCACTAGGCTACTGTCTATAGGCAATGGATCTTTTCTGCTGAAATGGCTAACATTTTGCTAAAGTGACCACACCTTTAAAGGGATAACACAGACGATTCACTATAGCCAATGAGTCATTTATAGTCAAAGAAATATTGTAGAACTAAGCATAACTCGAAATGTAGTCATGAAATGACTATTGAAAAGTCCTGACCTTGTAAGATTTGAATAATATCCATGATTTTTCACCACACCCAGCTAGGCCACTAGTGCCTGCCAAGATTTTCAGTGGCCCAACACAAAGCGTATAAATGTAATATTTAATGTATTGAAATTAATATCATCATATTTACATGTATTACTGTAAAGTTCTTGTTTAAATGTAAATTTTTAATGTTTATTCTGATATTTATTTTATATAAATGCATACACATTTTCCACACACAAATTTAAATTTTCATCAAATGTTAAAGGGATAGTTCACCCAAAAATGAAAATTCTGTCATTAATGACTCACCCTCATGTTGTTCCAAACCCGTAAAAACCTTTGTTTATCTTCGGAACACAAATTAAGAGATTTCTGATGAAATCCGAGAGCTTTCTGACCATGCATAGACAGCAATGGAACTACCACGTTCAAGGGCCAAAAAGGTAGTAAGGACAAAATTATGGTTGAACCACTGATGTCACATGGACTATTTTAACAATGTCTTTACTAACTTTCTGGGCCGTGAACGTGTCAGTTGTGTTGCTGTCTATGCAGGGTAAGAGAGCTCTCGGATTTCATCTTAATTTGTGTTCCGAAGATCAACAAAGGTCTTACAGGTTTGGAACAACATGAGGGTCAGTAATTAATGACAGAATTTTCATTTTTGGGTGAACTTTCCTCTTTACAATATTTATACAATAACATAATACAATTCTTACAATACAATAACTATATTCTTTACAAAGAAACAAAGAAAATACTCAATAAAACCTATAAATCATACAGTTATTATAAACACACAGGAAACTAGTCAACTAGATCCTAGTGAACTGGCAAATTACAGACCCATCTCAAATCTTCCTTTTATGTCTAAAATTTTAGAAAAAGTTGTGTCAGCTCAACTGTGCTCCTTCCTGCAAAAAAATTATCTCTATGAAGAATTTCAGTCAGGTTTCAGGCCCCACCATAGCACAGAAACTGCACTTGTTAAAATTACAAATGACTTGCTTCTTGCGTCAGACCAAGGCTGTATCTCATTGCTAGTTTTACTTGATCTTAGTGCTGCGTTCGACACTATAGATCATGACATACTCATAAATCGATTACAAAACTATACAGGTATTCAAGGGCAGGCTTTAAGATGGTTTAGATCCTACCTGTCAGATCGCTACCATTTTGTTCATTTAAATGGGGAGTCATCTCAATTATCACCAGTAAAATATGGAGTGCCACAAGGATCTGTCCTAGGTCCTCTGCTATTTTCGATATACATGTTGCCACTTGGTAATATTATTAGGAAATACGGGATTAGTTTCCACTGTTATGCTGATGATACTCAACTATATATCTCAACAAGACCAGATGAAACTTCTAAATTATCTAAGCTAACAGAGTGTGTTAAAAATGATAAATTATATTAAAATGTATTAATTTTCACCTATTAAATTCGGATTAGACTTATCTTATTACTTATTGGACCAAAAGACAGTACACAGAATCTCTTGGATTACAATTTACAACTAGACGGATGTACTGTTACTTCCTCTACAGTCAAAAATCTGGGTGTTATATTAGATAGCAACTTGTCTTTTGAAAATCATATTTCCCATATTACAAAAACAGCATTTTTCCATCTTAGAAACATTGCCAAGTTACAAAACATGATACCTGTTTCTGATGCAGAAAAGCTAGTTCATACATTCATGACCTCTAGACTGGACTACTGTAATGCAAAGTCCACTAAAGGAGGTAGAGCTTTTTCGCATTTGGCTCCCAAACTCTGGAATAGCCTTCCTGATAACATACGGGGGTTCAGACACACTATCTCTGTTTAAATATAGATTAAAGACACATCTCTTTGGCCAAGCATTCAAATAATGCATATCATAATCTTGTACTGCAGTTATATATGATCAAATGCACATTTATATTCTTTAGTTTGGGTTAAACAAATAAATTTTTGCTTGGTTGGAACAGCAGCTACGCTAATTATGTCTCTATTTGTTTCTCTGATTGACATCCCGTGGTAACTAGGATTTACACAAGCTTCAGTCTGGATCCAGAACACACGAGAAGAGATGATGCCAACCCCTCATAGGACCTCAGATGATGCCAACCCTGAGACAACATACAGAACTACCACATTTTGCTATAAGTTTGATTGCATCATATAATAATTGCTGTTAATAGTGTTCATCGTCTGTTTGATTACGTCTTTAATTGATTTTTCTGTACATTTCTGCCATATGTACATTGACTGACAGTCACCACTGATAAACTACCACTAAATATTGTAGAAAATTAATTTGCTGTAAAGTTGCTTTGCAATGATTTGTATCGTGAAAAGCACTGTACAAATACACTTGAATTTAATTGAATTTAAACTAACAATAATAATAATAACCAATAATAATTAGAAAAATGGCATCCATGCCAAAACATTACTGATTAGTTTTCCACCCATTCTTACTGATAGATAAAAAGTTGACAAGCAGAATTCCAAATGTTTAAGTTTCCAATGCACAAAAATTAAGACACAGCGCTTGCCAAATAGGTCAAGTTACAATGCAGGCCATCCTTATTGTTGAGCACTTTTAGGGTGAGTAATAATATCAGAATTAGTTTTGGATGAACAATCCCTGTAAATAAGAATGTCCACTACACTGAGCTAATCAAAGACCATCACAGTCATGTTCTCTCAGCCTCTGATTGGAATAAATATTAAAATCAGAAGCTGCTCAGGGCTTTTACATGTAGTGATGTCGCTCCAGGTCCCCTGTTAGAGCAAAACTGGTGTAATCCACTGAGCTGTTAAGAGGATTCCCTTCACCCAATTTGCTCTGTAAACAAAGCAATTATGATCACACTGAACCTCGTATGGATCCCAAAACACAGTGTATGACGTAGCGGTGAGGTTGTATAACTAAGGAACGGTTGCATAATTATACAAGGGGAGAAGGGTGAGAGGCCGAAACCTGCTGTACTGTGTCATCCGTCATGGTTAAACAAAGATAACATTCCATCTGAACATAACAAGGGGCAACAGTCCAGCCAACATCACAAGCACTAAGTAAATGGCACCTGAGTCATCTCTATTATGCCCTCTGCGTCACACATTCAGTGAAAACATGGTTTATAGACCAATCAGACTCCTTTGGCAGAACAAAGACTGTTCATAAACACCTAACAACAGACTTCACAGTTTATTCACAATGGGCTTGTGAGCAAAGCTTTAAATATATGATAATAGAGGCAGTAGTAGCTCTCTGAGAGTGTTGGAGGTAAGTGTGTTTTAAGATTGAGCCCTGGAGGCAAACACCTCAACTCTGGCTCACTAAGAAAGACGTAAAAACTGTCTCATTTCCCCATTTAATGTGCAAAGAAACCTATTTATAGGTGGACTTTTCTAAAATGTGTTTTAAAAACAATGCTTTTTTATTTGAGACTACTGACCAAATGATCACAAGCTGCTTACCTTGCAAATAGTCTGCCAAGTCTCCTCCATTGCAGTACTTGAAGAGGAAACAAACAGAGAAAAATAAAACTCAGCTTTAAAATCAATACAGAACAATAAAAAACTATGTTGAGGCTCGAGGACTGGATATTTCATGGGCTGCAAGAGGAGGATAGGGTGGTGTAGTGACACACACATCAATGAATCTGATGAAGTGATGCAGCACTATGGGAATGTCAGTGTGTATTGGCGGTCAGTAAATTTAAACATTATTGATGGAGGGAGAGAAATAGCCCTGAGCATACTGGGTGGATAGAGATAATACACTACATTTAACATGACATAACATCTTTAAACCTCTGACTGAACATCAGGACCTTTGATTGAAGGCTTTAAAAAAATAAAACAATGTGATCAATTTAGCATCTGGCTTACAGGCGAGTTTTATTCTATAGAAGTAATCAAGAAGAGCCATTTTTAACTCTAAAATATTTCCAAGCAGATAACTAGAAATAAATCAAAGGTATCTAGAAATACCTATAACAGTATTACTTATTTTCTGTTTTCATTTTAATTTTAGTTTTAGTATATACCATATAAATGGTACTTAATTTTAGTATTTTCTATTTTCAATTAATTTTGTTGCTTTTTTATTCATTTTTTATTGACTATTTCAGTTTTCGTTATTTTAGTATATCAAGTTAAAGTAAATGAAAATGAGAAATGTTGCCTTGTAAATAATACCATTACAATATTTTATTTCAGTTAAAGTTTAAGTAACTTTTTGTGGTTTTAGTGTTAGTTAAAGCTGCAGTCTGTAAGTTTTGCCTCTTTGTCGCCATCTCTGTTTGAAAACCTGGAATTGCAGCTGTGTGCGGAATTATCTTCCTTGCGTGGGTTGTGCGCCAGCACGGAATAATCTAATGTTCTGAAGAGTATGTGTGGCAGTCAGTCACCGCACCGGTGTGGATATTTACTGTACTTCGCAATCACAGATTCTAGCCTACGTCTTGGAATATATGACCCAAATAAGAATTTTCACCATATATTGTCATCTATAGTAACTATAGTAACAAGTCTGCCACCTTTGTTCTGACCAACTGAGGAAAAAAGCATTACCATAAATCTCGCTACCAATGGTGATTAAATCTAAAGATCGGTTAGGTCATATCACATTAAACCGTTCAAATTATTATTATTGTTATACTTTAATGTTAACAAGATCAGCATTGGTGACTATGAGTATAGTGTGTATTAGCGTATAGATTTCAATTTCTGCACAGTCTAATCTAATTGTCATACTCTTCGAATTTCATATTAAGAAATTATTTTAACCCAAAAAGCAAATTATGCTCCCTTCGAACTGGTTGTCTTTAAAATACAAATCTTGTGTAATCCCAGGCTATCTGTAATCAGAAGCACATTTATAACTGGAATATAATTAAATTTCATTCACATGTGTTTCATAAACTCATAATACTTTCTGGATTACAATCCGCCATCAAAATGATAAATTTAATTATTCCAGATGCTGTGAGAAAAGGCTCTAAACGATCGGCCACCTGCAGGATCCTCACATGAGATAGCCTAGTAGCCAGTCAACCACTCAAATTAGAAAACATTATTATAAGCTGACCATTGTGAATCAGGCTAAAGTAAGGCGATAGTTTTGAACACTGGCTGGTTTTGTACTTGCTCAAATATTGATTTCAGGTCATTTTTAACCAAAAAAAGTTACGGACTGAAGCTTTAGCTATAATAACCCTGATTTATACTTTTTAATATGTCATTAATTTACATAACTTTCCCAATATTATTAACTATGAAATATTTTCCTTGACTCCCTTATTTTCGGACCAGAGGAGGGAAATCAGTCAGATGACTAGTCACTCCTTACACTGAAAAAAATGTTTCATTCATCCAATTAAAAAAAACTAGGGTAATTACTCACATCTATATTTTTTAACTTGAGCCAATGAAAACTAAATAACTTGCCCTTATTTATTTTTCATTGGCTCAAGTTAAAAAATATAGATGTGAATCATTACCCTACATTTTTTTAATTGGATGAATTAACAATTTTTTTCAGTGTATTTACCACAACATTTTCAATTCACATGCATACATTTGGGAGATGCTCTTATATAAAGTATACAGATCTGAACACATGACTTTGCTAGCGCCATGCTTTACTGTTTAATCTAAAGGAAAACCAAGAACTTGGACACATGTGCATGCACAAAGAACAAACTGCATCAGTGTGTACTAATTGTGAGTGGCTCTGGTGTTGAGGACTTTGAGTGTTTCAGAAGCAGACCTGTTTGCACCAAACTCTAGTTGCAAACACCCTCTCATGTCACACAGACAGGTGCCAATAAACAATACTCAGAAAGCCAGCAGGTTACATTATTATACGGTGCATGCATCAGAAGTGTTGGACTGATATTACACACTAAAGATAGTTGATATTAAAGCTCTTGAAATTGTTTTTGAGAGCAGCTTTCCCTGAACGGATATTTTTAGTTTGGCCTCTTCATGTGTTTGTTTCTCCTTCAGAGACTGCAGTGTTGGGCAATACTAGAAAGCATAGCCATGAAACATTAGGGCGCGCTGTGGCCTTATGACAAAAACAAAAGCGTGTGGACATGAGAAGCAAGAGAGAGGAGAGAAAGAGGGGTGAATACATGCTTTATGCTCACCTCCATAACCAGGAATACAGAACTTGGGGTTTCCTAAAAGAAAAAAGACAAGAAACATAATTTTACTCAGAAACCGCACATAACAGCAAACATCCATCAAAGGCACTGATTTGTTTGCACACAGGTCCATGTCCTCCAGCAAGCAGGTGGTTGTGGAAATCCAGGCACGTGCGTAAGTGAAAACGACTCACGTTTCAAATCCTGGCATGCAAACCTCATGTTATTGAAACCGTTTAGACACACTAGCCTCATAACAGCTATTAGGGCTGCTGCGTCAATACTTAAGGTATTAGACTCTGAATGCTGGCCAAATAAAAAACATGAGGCCCCTGGTTATTTCTAGGAAGTGGGCTGTTACAGTAAACAAGACAAGCCGCCAAGTTACAGCGCTTCCTCCACCATCTCATCTCAAAGTATTATGATTCATGGTAACTTCCAGTGAATTGATGTTGGTAGCCCATTAATGCAGTTGTGATGGACTGGTCCATTAACAAAGAAAGCGCGGCCATTTTATGTGCTGCCCATAAGTGACTGCCTGTGGAGAGTGTGTGTGGGAAGAGCTTGTCATAGCGGTCAACACTCCATTTGCCCACATTACCTCTCGTTCCTCCTCACTGTATCTCATTACCTCACCCATTCAAGATGACTGAATACTCAAAATCTCTGCTACTCCTTATGGAGTTTTAAAAATGACAGGAACCTTAAAGTCAAAATGAAATCAGAATTGACTCCATTTACTTTAATGATGCACAAATCTTGTGAACAATTCATTGGTGCATGTTTGGGGTGTGAAATATATTAGTACCATATTGATTATTGGTCAATATTGCTCATTTTTTCTTGTTTTTTGCTAATTTCCCTTGTTTTTAAATTTAGGTTACCTTTGCCGTATTGATGTTTGCCTTATTCCTAATAACTAGCAATACAACACTGAAATTTCACAAAGCGAAAATATTCAGTCAAAACAGCAAAACGGGAAAAAATTTTGGGCCAAAATAGTTTTGAAGAGCCAAAATTATTGACATTTAATCAGCACTTCTGCAATGACAAATTAGTGTCTATTTTCTACACACAATATAGATAAGATACAACCGTGATCAAAAATCAGTTAGAAGAACAATATGGAAAATTTGTTTGAATGAAATATCGTGAGGCTGGTTTAAAATATCAGATGAGAACATGACACACTGAACAACATACCAAGTTCAGTTAACCAAATTTAAATACAGAAACTTTTTGGTTTTGGTTAAATTAAAACTTTTTTTTTGTTTCAGTGTTTGGTAAAAATTCATGCTGGTGGATCTAATAATTTAATAACACAGCTAAACGTAATCTTGTACCTGTAGCATTTAAAATTATTGATTTTAGTTTTTAGTGTTTAATTTTGATTTAGACAAAATATTTGATATCTTTTGAAGACTTTTAATATCTGCTTAGCAAAAATCATTATTGGCTTATCAGTATCAACCACTATTTTAATATTGGTGCATTCCTAATCCACGTTATTCAAGAAAAAAAAGTGTTTGTCTTCGTAAAATTGAATCAAAATTTACAAGCAGCTCAAGGGCTTATGACTTCGTAATCTGATTCCAGGAAAGCCCACCGCCCCAGTTCCGCTGTAGATCCGTTTATGGGATCTGGGATCAATGCAGTCCAGGAGCTACAAGGGGCACTGCCACTGATTGTCAGTCTGATTGCATAATGGGCTGATTTGAGCTGGGCTGGCAGTGGTGGGGGTGGGTGATGGGAAGGAGAAAGGAAATGGAGCATCTCTGGCTAGTTTGGAGGGGTTGATCAACTCGAGGACATCATTAACGCTGCCATCACATATCAGTCATTTCTTGAACTTGACCTCTTCATCTGTGACTTCATCTGAAGTCAAATGGCCCTGATCATGCTATGCACAAACAAACACACGGGCCATTTGATGAGAGGTGCAAAAGGAACCGTTGAACAAGTGTGGGCAGAAAAAGAAAAACAAACAGCTATGGGTCCAGAACCACACGTCCAAACACACAAGTGTTGATCTCTGATCTCCTCCTGCCAATTTTTTCCACACTTTTGGCAAGAGATGAGATTCCACATGGGCTCTTGCAGAAAAATATGCATCATGATTTAAGAGCAGTGGTAGGGTGACCATACGTGCCATTTTCCCAGGACGCGTCCTGGCCAGGATTTCTATATTGCCTAAAATATCTAGGTTTTGGCTTTGTTTGCGTGTGCAGACTGATCGGTGTATGACATCAAAATACCATACAGATGGTTCCTTATGCTTTCAAAATGCTCTCGATTTGAGCCGCGCTGCTTTTAATGCCGAGTTCACACTGCACGATTTTCAAACTTGTCGGATCGCTGTTGTTTTCACACTGCGTGACTATCTGGGATAGCATTCAGTTGCTGCTGTGTTCACATTGCACGATGGATCAGCGACAGGGGGTTTCACACTGCATGACTTCACAATAGGAAGAATCGCCGACAGCTCTGTCTGGTCCGCAAACTACATTTCACAACAAAACACACGCGAGAAGTGATAAGGAAATAACGCGAGAACCCGTGTGCATCAGACCGGAGTTCTCCAGCAAGACTGTAATTATTAAAACAATATATATATATATATAGCCCGCAAATTGTCTGAGCTGATTTCCAGCTACAAGGAGAAAAAGAAAAACAGATTATGCAGGAGGGAGATGCAGGGAACAGGGATTGGGTGTTCTGCAAAGAGAGTTGGAGGTAAATAATTTTGCAGTAACTGTTATGCTGATGTTGTGGCTGGTCAAGCAAATGTTTGTGCTTGTTTCTGTATGATATAATTGTTCATATATCTATTAAAATACTGATATTCTGGTCTATAACTCCTCCCCGAACTTCCCTCTGCCCTGTATCTTGGTCTCTCATTGGCTGTAGGTCATCGCCGATGTGTTTTTCAGTCAGTACTCATTTCACACAGCGTGATTTTGAATCGCTCAAAAAAATCGCTCGATTCCCTCAGATCGCGTCTTTGATAATCCACACTGCATGATTGTCACTCGCGTGAACAAGCACCGATTTGCCTCCGATGTCGGGCATTTGTCAGCGATTTCGCAAAACCTGTCGGTGAGTGAAAAATCGGGCTAATACCGTGCAGTGTGAACTAAGTCGACCACACATCCTATGTACGCGAAATGGCCTCGCTTTGACCATAGCTCCCACCTTCTCACACACACACCATGATTGGTCCATTATGTACAATGCCTGCATGTTATTGGTCAAACTACTTTTCGATCATTACCTTCAGCAAGCATGAAAACAGGAAAAAAACAAAGCCAAAACAAATCCTGGCAAGGACACGTCCTGGGAAAATGGCACGTATGGTCACCCTAAGCAGTGGTAATGTCATTTATATTTATCATGTAAACAAGGATAAAAAAAAAAATAGGTCAGTCAGTAACCAAACACTGGACAATACCCGAACAGCCATCATTTTGAAACGTTCAGTGCCTCAGAACAATGTGCTGCTACTTCTGTGGGACATGTAACATTAGTTACTGTGTGTTTAGAGCTAGTTAGCATATTAGGCAGCAGGGAAGCATAACTGGATATATAATCAGCCATGGAGAGATAAGGCAATAACAGCAATTTTGAAAAACTAGAGTTGACAACAGACTACCATTGCATCAGAATTTCAACAACAATAATAATCAGGTTAAATAGCAAAACAATTTTTTGGGGGGATGAAATAGTTTTGAATAGCCCAAACTGTTGACTGAAAGAGTGACATTTAATCAGTGCTTTTCCGAAGGCGTTTACTTTGTAAACTAAATCAGGTAAGCATGACCCCAAGAAACATGACACACTTTACCCCGACCAAAAATGATGCTAGAGTAGCAATTTGTAAAATATGTTCATCTGAAATATCAAAAGGCATCTCGTTGCTGTCATGTGTATGTTCCCGTTTAGTTCCTGTTTGTCCTTATTTGGTCCTTCCTGTTCCTGTCCCAATTTAGTTCTATTAGTTCCAGGTGTTTCTCATTATTAGTTATCCTCCTCACCTGCCTGCCCCTCGTTATCTGCCCTATTTGAGTTCTAGCCCGTTCTGTTCTCCCTTGTCTGGAATTGTTGATGTCAACCCTAGCTATATGTGTTTTCCTATTTCCCTGGATATTATTAAAGTTAGTAAGTTTGAATTCGACTCTGTGTCTCCTCGTTCCTCACTTCATGCTCCTCACAGTATCGAACCGTGACAGTTGCCTAAGAACTTTACTATCACTGGTTTAATTTATCACCTGAGAACAAGATACCATAAAGAGCATAATGAGTTCAAATACCCAATTTATTAACCAAAACCTAATTTTCAGTTTTTACCTAAACGAAAACTTTAATTATTCAGTTAGATGTTTTGCAAAAAAAATTATTTTTGGTGCATCACTAAATTAGACATTAAAAGTTGCTATCTTACAGAAGCCTAATTTTGTTATCGGGTCAACCCTACAACAAAGCACCGTTGACCAAAAACATACTCAAACTATGAGATTCCAGAGCTGCGTTCCAATCATATCTCCATAGCTATCACAAGCTTCAAAACATTGGAAAATACAGGCATGATAATGAAGTCAAAAAGCAGCACAGTCCAGCCAGGCGGTGAGAGTATTGCATCATAACTAGACATGCTGGGTTACACAAGGTGGAAACCAGCCAAAGCGTGGCTTTAAATTCTAGGAATGTTTGAGAAACACCACATGTGCGACCAACTGCGAGAGATGGATGTGTTCTTCTTAGAAACCGGTTTCTAGTTATCTACATGATGAGGGAACACAACATTCTAGGGCTGTAATGAATACTTGAGGTGTCGTGAGCCTATAGACACAGACTGTCCTTTTAGATGAGAATGTTTCTAAAGCAATGTCCCTGGAGCTCTGAATGACACACTAGAGGATGTTTATCAGCAGGAACAGGTAGTGAAGAACAACAGCACATCATATTGCCAGTGGCAAGGCCATGAACCTCACAGTATTAAGATGAAGAAAGAGCTAAAGACAAATAAACATATTTACTTG